ACACGTAAGAAGTTGAAGTAGAATTTGAATGATGATGATGATGAATTTGCTGCACAGTAGAAATGATGATGATGATGAAGCTGATGATGACTTCTACTGTGCAGCCGATAATTGTATTTTACGTCTCTTCAGACGGCGGTACCCTTTCTATTGCTATTTTACGCTTGTTTTGTTGTTCCTAGACTAGGAAATAATATTTATTATTTATATTTTTATGGGTTTAAATGAAAAAATTTAGGTTTTCACATATCGCGATTTTTTAAAATTTTCCGGAAAATCCGCGATATATTTTCCATATATATATTTTAAAAATCCGTGAAGTCGTGAATCCGCGATAGTAGAACCGCGAATTAGCGAGGGATCACTGTATAAGCCAGCCATAATTTACCGGTTATTTAGTGCTAGGAAGAATAATGCTTTACTGTACACCAAGTACTAATATTAGCATTAGTGTAGCCATTGGTACACTAACACTGAACGTGAGTATGGAAAGACGAGATACACGCCTGTATTAAACAAACCATTTAATAAGACAAATACAACTTAAATACACATGTTAAATTAATTTACAGATGTCCTAAAACAAATGATTGTTCAAATGAAGATAATGTTTGACAGAAGAAACGAACAAAGAAATAAACAAACCAGCTTTATGTTCTTTGACCGTTATCACCAAGGGCAATCAAAATGCCTTCTCATTCTACGTGAGGCTATGCATGCGTTGTTCATTTTCCACGTGTGTGGACGCCTCGGTGGTTAGAAAAATATTAACCGTTCCAAAGGCGGAAGCAAAAAAGAGAAGAAGAGTTCTTCTCTCCAAAGGGACTGAACCCCTATGCGTTCAATCCAAGGGGAAACAACTATTGTCTGCCTACACTAGAATTTATTCGAGATAAAACCTAAGAGTCATTTTTAGAAAATCTTTGAAACAGTATTTGTCTATATCTCTAAGATGAGGTATTATGTACACTATTTACACTATTCGGGATATTATCCTCATCTTTGTCGCCATATTTATTACAAAGTTTCGGCCCTACAGTATCTGTCTATATCTCTAAGATGAGGTATTATGTACACTATTTACATTATTCGGACTATTATCCTCATCTGTGTCGCCATATTTATTACAAAGTTTCGGCCTTTCAGTATCTGTCTATATTTCTGAGATGAGGTATTATGTACACTATTTACATTATTCGGACTATTGTCCTCATCTTTGTCGCCATATTTATTACAAGGTTTCGGTCGCTGTACGCACCAGCCTTCTTCAGGTGGGTGGAATGTTGAACTGAACCCTTTATTTCGCTCATTGCGGTAGACTGTTCTAGTTGCACGTGCCATGTTTAATGGATGTCAGTTATCAGCTATGCCCTGTTAATTTTCCTCTCCGGGTATTGACATCACACTCATTGGGTCCTGTCACTGGATTTAATCAACGCCTTTATCCACTGTCCTTGAAGATATCTGTGTATGAATTTCTGGGTATTATAAACCTAATGTCTTCAGCCATCATTTTTTTACCAGTGCTCATATTGCAATTTTTGCTGTTATCATTTCTGTTTTTTGCCAGAGCTCATATTGCAATTTTTTTATTATTATCGCATTTCTCTGGCATTCATTATTACTGGTTCCCATATTGTATTCATTTTTATGCTTGGTCGGCGCAGGATATTTTTGTGGCGTAGCATATGTGCTGATTTCTTAAGTTTACGAATTTTCCAATGATTTTCTTTGTCTATGATCTCAACCTGATTTCGCAAAAGGTGGTTATCTCCCTTTTCTCTCGCCTGATTTTTTCCATTTCCCCTCGTGTTACAGATTTCTGGTGTTCTTTGAAACAATAATTATATTCCGCTATGACGGGACGTATACTTTTATTGTTGTAATACTTGCAGAAAATATTACTCCCCCACGTTCTAATTTATTTTACTCGTTTTGAATATATGTTTCCACGAAAACAATAACTTCCGATATCAGTTTTCATTTATTTATATACTGAATTTTTTTCTTTGTAACGTTTAATTAAGTTTGGCATTTTGGTTAATTTACCTTTCGTCAATGCCTTCAATGTTCCGTTTTAGTATTATATAAAAGCCAGCCATAATTTACCGTAAAAAAAAAAAGGAAAGAAGAGTTCTCCTCTCTAAAGGGGCTGAACTCCCAGGCGTTCAATCCAAGGGAAAACAACTGTTGTCCCCCTACAAGGAGATGCCAGGTACATTCAGGAGCGGTAAAAAGAAGACGGTGCAGCGAATATATAAAAAAAAAAAAAGATCGACAAATGCAGACTTTTAAGGGTATTAGTTAAACACATGAAAGCAAACGAAGTACAAAGTTGACGTAAATTTTTCTCCCCGGAATCGATCCTCCAGATCTACAAATCAACAATTCGCCCTTGCATGGAGTATTGTTGCCATATATGGTCTGGTGCCCCTTCTGTTTGCCTCGGGGTTCTTGATAGGCTCCAGGGGCGGATATGCAATGTAGTTGACCCTGCTCTGGCATCTCGTCTACAGTCACTTTCTCACAGACGCACTGTCGCCTCCCACTGCCTGTTATACAAATACTTTCATGGCAATTGCTCCGAGGAGCTGCATTCGCTGGTTCCCAGACGTCCTACGAGGCTGGCACCCCCTCTCACCCTTTCACTGCCGAAATTCCTAAATGTAGCCGTCTCTTCTAGTCTAATAGCTTCATGTCTCGCATCTCTCGCCTGTGGAACTCCCTTTCCTATTCCAGTTTCCCTGAGATCTATAATCTCCAACTATTCAAATGTAATGTCAATCGACATCTCCAGTTCCCTTGATCTATCCACTACCCTCATCCTTTCTTCTATCACTCCTATCTGATCTTGCTCTAAATTTTCTGTAACCCCTTGCGTCCTAGTGGCTTCCCGCCTTGCTTGGGGAGAAATGTTTAAAAAAACAAAACAAAAAAAAACATAAGAGACGCAATGAACTAGTAGAAGGAGGACATGAAAAATGATTTCTTACCAACAGACGTTATAAATGAATGTCAAGAGATAAAAGATAGGCTTAATGACTGGGCTAAACGTTAATTCATTCATGGAAATAATCAATCCACACAGAATAGAAAACATACGGTAGAAATAATGTTTTAGGTGTGTCCTGTAGACTCTAAATATATATATTTACACATTGGCTATAAATTAAATCTCCATTATTTATTAAATACTAGCAGTAGAGCCCGGCGTTGCCCGTGGATGTAACAGTAACAGAGAGATCAAGTATCGACCATCATAAAGACTGAAAAATAAAATTTACAAAGATTATTGTTTAAGGTTGACAGTGACAAGAGCCAAAGAGTGTCAAGGCAGTGGAGAACTTTCAGAGGGAAATTAACAGGAGATAACTGATAATTAATATCCATTAAATATGGCACGCAAGTGAGCGAAATAAAGTGTTCAGTTCGACATTCCAACCACATGAAGAAGGCCGGAGCGTACAACGGCAGAAACGTTGTAATAAATATGGCAACAAGATGAGGACAATTGTCCCATTAATGTAAATAATGTAATAAAGAAGTCTCGTGAAATAAGCATTTATTCTTAAGACATTTCATTGTATACTAGCAGTAGAGCCCGGCGTTTCCCGGGCATGTAACAGTAAGAAATAGATCAAGTATGGACCATCATAAAGACTGAAAAATAAAATTGACAAAGATTATTGTTTATTGTTGATAGTTGTTAATTAGTTTTTTTTTTTGTTTTTTTTTTACGAATTGGCCAAACCCAAACTCAAACAAAAACATTGTTTTCAATCGTTATGAGTCAACCGATTGAATAGAATTTTATTATAAACAATTGTCTTGTAAATGGAATTTTTAAAGAATTCTGAATGTAAAAATAAAGAAAAAGTGTGCAAGACAATAAGAAACACTACCTGCCAAAAAATAGTTTTGTTGAAATCGGTTGAAAAATGTAGGAAATCCGATCCCATATATAAACGAACACACACACACAAACAACCTGGGTTTTATAAGTATAACTCGATATGAGTTGTCCCCCTTTCATTCTCGCGATGCCTCTTAATCGTGTTTTCAAATTGATTTCGTGCAAAAAACCATTGTGTTTTTTTCCAATTTTTGGCGCTGTCAGAACCACCGCAAGGTAATCTTACGTAGTCCTGTGAAGTTTTTGTTGAAATCGGTTGAAAAATGTCGGAAATCCGATCCAATATATAAACATACACACACACACACACACACACACACAACCTGGGCTTTATAATAACTATGATGATTACAACGTTTGTTTGGAAAGTAGACACATAGATAGATAGATAGATAGATAGATAGATAGATAGATAGATAGATAGATAGATAGATAGATATGAAAAGACTGAATAGATAGTTATAATACATAAAATGTTAATGGTCAGGTTTGAATCAGACCAGGGAAGAGTCGTATTAAAAAGTGCTCATTACAAGTGTGAACAAATAAAAATGAAAAAATATCATGTAGTTATTTTAACTTAAAAAGTTACAAGTTCAATTGATTTCGCTACTTTTCAAATTTACGGTATCCTCTGGCGATTTTCAACTCATATGAGGCTGGTTAAAAAAAAAAAAAAGCTATGTACATTTTTATTCCCCACCACCACCGATATATTTAGAATGTCCTTGCCTGTCTTCCCCTCCCCCTTTTTTCTTCTTCTTCTTTTTCCTTCTTTGCATCCTCCTCCCCACGTTCTATCCGTGCATTTCTTTCTTCTTTTATTTTTTTTTTAAATTATATAGTGTTCATTTTGATTTTTATAACACTAGGGGAGGTCAATTGATAAAAATCGCATGAGAATGCCGTAAGTTTGAAACCAAGGTCTCGAAATCAAATTTTTATAGAGAGATAAGTATGAAAAGATAACTAGATGTGAAAAGATTGAAGCAGAAATATAGATGAAATATGAAAAACTGTGATAGCCTGTTCATATCTATCTGAGATAGTTGTATATGGACGGATTCTGATAGACAAGGATATAATCTCAATTAGATAGATAGATAGATAGATAGATAGATAGATAGATAGATAGATAGATATAATCTAATTCAAATAGATAAATCGAGAGAAAACTGTAGATATGAAGAGAATGCGATAAATAGAAAGATAGATAGATAGATAAGAACTGACTGAGATAAATTGATATGAACGGATTGTGACAGATTAGAATATAATCCAATTCGAATAGATAGATAGATAGATAGATAGATAGATAGATAGATAGATAGATAGATAGATAAAATTTACTATTTCCTATTATTCTTATTGATAAGCATCAATTCTCGTGCGTCTAAGTTTTTCACTTGTGATCATTTCAAAACTAAATTCTGGCTGACTGATTTTCAACCAAGAACCAATATAAAATTCTCTGGACTTTGAATCAAAGAACTTTTGTTACCTGTCAGGTCAAGTGTAAGTCCTGTTTAAAGCCCCATGTATCACATTTCTGGCTTTAAGTTCCTTCCAGACAGCACATCCAGACAATTACAATAAAAATGTGCACTTGATCCGATAGGATTGTCAAGGTGATGAGTAATCACTCAGCTGTCGAGGCAGATAAATTCTTTTCTATTCGCTAACATTGAAATTAGATTTACTTTTGACTTGGTTTTGTTCAATTAGAATCAATCATATATTATTGCATCTAATTTTCTTCCGTTTCTACCATCAGGTATCGATTTGGGTTGATTAGACGTTTCCAAAAAAGACTGGTGAAAAGTTTGCCGTCTAAGAGTTGAAAAGTTCAAATCAAAGTACAATCTACAATTTGAATATTTATGACAGCTTGGAATTGATGTCAATTTAGCCTGCAGGAATCAGTTTAGATCTGATCGCTGAAGTTAAGCAGTTTGGAACATGATCAGATATTGAAAGGGTAACCGTTTAAGAATATTAGTTAATGTAATTGTGTTTGTAGCAGATTAACTCAACTGAAAAAAACTGCAAAAGCGAAGATGTTTGGGCCATGCAACTTATTTCTCTTCTAAGCTAGCACTAACAGCTTATTGCAGAAATAACTTTCAGTTAATGGATAATGACTTGGATTGAGGAATCGGAGAGCCGTGGTCGAATTCCAGTCAAATCCATTACATTTACTTACGTGCTAATACCCTTGGGAAAGGTATGAATCTGCTTCTTTTCCCCCAGCTTCGGACAACGCAGAACAGACTGGGTTCTATAGCCATGGTCTGGTCTAATGTGGAAAGAAATGGCAAGTTACTGCCTCGACAGTATGTATCGAAAGATACATGATCGCTTAAGCGTGTATCAGGCATGGCATGTAAGAAACTGGCGCGAATGGCAAGCGAGATTTGTGTCATCCTCACCATTCAGTTTCAGATTTTTCTCCTGTCATGTTGTCCGGTTGATTTTTTTTTCCATTTACAAGCAAAACACCAGGATGAAATATGTGTAGTGTAGACCGAAAAATGTTTTTGTTTTTTTAATGTAAGTGGAAAAATTGCGCCCTGAAGATGACAATTTAAAATTGTAGAAACTACTTGGCTCGTCAATTCCATCTGACAACAACTCAAATATAAAACAACTCAAATACAAGGATCGTATTATTCAAGGATTTGATAGTAAGTTAAAGTCTTGTTAGCGGAGTGGTTTCGCCATTAATCTCATTGACATTGCTAATTAATCCTTTGTATAAATTACTTCTTTATGGTATATATATATATATATATATATATATATATATATATATATATATATATCATAAAGAAGTAAAGAAGTAGTTTTTAAATGCCGACACAAAAACAACCTAAACCTAAGCAAATACATTGAGAAATAATCATATATGAAGAGCAATTTTGAATGTTTTGTATTCCCTTTGTTTTTAGAAATATTACTATGCACACATGAACGCTAACACATGACTATATGTATACAACTATGGAATGTATCTGAACACTGAGACACCTGTTGATATGTACATGTATATGTTTTTATATGGAAAAAGAAGCATACCAGGGTTCTTTTTTTTTGTGAGTGTGGAGGTGTACAATTAGATAGGTACTTATATGTTTTGCCATAAATATGAAAGAGCGGGTAATATTATATGTGTAAAGATATGGATAATGTAATTAAATACTGAGATAGTCTTTGAACGCAGGCATGAGTGGGTGCACGGGTGGACATGAGGATAGGGACATGTCTGTGTGTAGATACATGTAAGTGCAAATTGACGCATATGTGTGTATGTAGATATGCTGCATATTACGTATGTATATGCATGTATGTGTGTGTATGTATATGTATGTGTGTATGTATGTATGCATATATGTGTGTGTATGTGTATATGTGTATATATATAGGTGTGTAAATATATATGTGCGTATGTATATGAATGTATATGGATATACAGGTGTCCTTATGTGTATATGTATATATGTAAGTATAAGTGTATATGGAGATATGTATGGAGATATACGGATATGCGTTTTCTCTGCAGGTGTACATGTGTAAATATGGAAATATACATATGGTTTTGTCGTGTGAATGGGTGTGCAGGTGTATATAGAAACGCATAGGCATATAAGAAGATATAGGTATGTGGATATAAATAGGGGTTTAAGACATGCGTAGATAAAAGATTGTAAAAGAAGGACCTAATTTTCTGCTAGTGACATCTCATCCAAATCTCTCCTCTAATATTCTCCAATTGGAAGTGAGTTTTAAATAGAACGAAGGTAAAGTTTAAATTGGTATTTTAATTGAGATTGAAATATACAACTCTATTATTGATGATAAAATTATTTAAATGGGAATAACCGTTGATCATTGGGTACATAAAAACAATCACGAGTTTACTTAATGAACAAAAATTAAAAACAATCACGAGTTTACTTAATGAACAAAAATCAAACGAATAGATGTCAACCTAACAAGCAATAAGATAAAAGTTTTAGTAGGATAAAAAAGATTACTAAATATAAAATGGATTACTCTTTCAATGTACTGTCTATGAATTTTTCCAATCGACTGTTTCATAGAAAATACCCAAAACTCCACCGAATTTCAGATTAATTTCTTCGTTGATTGTTTAAACATTTAGATATTTATCAAACCTTAACCTCCCAAATATGCACGTTAAAGTAACGCGAATTAACAGCGTCTAAGAATTTGAATGAAACCTGTCGTGTAATTGATTGGGGTTGTTGTAACTTCTTCCTTTAATGTCGTTCTTATCATTCACCCCTTATCCATCTATATCTAGAGACGAGACGACACATCTAGCCGACACACTGGGGTTAAAAATAGGAAACTGAAATGATACATATGACACACTCATATCGTCTCTCCCACCTCACTTCCTCACTTCGTTAATTTTACGTATACTTGATGAGGTCCGTCAAAAACGTGTGAATTTCTTTTCATTTTTCATTTCATCTTTTGGAAGTAAAGTCTGATGATCCAGAACCCTATTAAAGGGGTTATGATGAAATAGCTTATTACATGGAATCTTAACGTGGTCTGTTTTTTATTCAAATATATATATATATATATATATATATATATAGTTAAATCTAGAGAGCCAGATAAACTTACCAAGGTTTCACCTAAGCGGATAGTCTGCTCTACTTACTGCATTGAGCACTTTATTAAGTTCTTTTGCTTACTCGTATTGGTTTTTTTTTGTGTGGGGGGGGACTTTGGACTTGCATGTTAGACGATTATTTTCGGCTGACGTACATGTTCTTGGTTCTTTTTTTTATATACCTTTTTTCCCCCTTTGGTATTGGTTTGATTATTTGCAAATCAAGACACCGAAGGTTTTTCGGACGAGTATAATTTATTATACTTATAAGATTATTACTACTAATATATATATATATATATATATATATATATATATATATATATATATATATAATTTCTTGCTTAAACTATATTTAATGGGCGCTCATATTTGAGTGGACGCTCGGTTTATTTTTATTAAAATTATATTTATCTATTCTCATCTACCGGCCAAAAAATACGAGAAATCTTATTAGAAAAATCTAATTTCTCAGCCAGGATTCGAACCAGCATTCCTATGGGGAAAACCGTCATTAAATCTGACGTGTTGTGATCTCTGGGCTACGAAGAACCCAGCGCTTAATGCAACGCCCGGGTAGATCTTTTTTGAAAGCAGACCATCGCCGATTCTCGAAATTCACATCTCGGCTCAGTTTCGTATCCTAATTTTTCTAATCAAATATGGCGAGGAAATATTCAAATGAGATGGGGGAAATTCAGAAACAAACGGACAACAAAAACGCAACACCGATCTGTGAATAGGCATTGGAATAGGGAAAGATGCCTTCCAAAGTCTAAGCAAAGCATATAGAAACAGGAAAATTTCGTTAGAATGAAAGGAAAGAATGCCGAACTGCCGTGTAATATCAATACTCGGATATGGCAATGAATAAAGGAGAATTTCCGTACAGGCAAATTTGAGTCTTGAGTTAAGAGAGATGAATTTATTCAGAAGGAAGCTGAGAAAACCAATGGCAGAATATGTCAGCTGAGAGAAAGATTTAAGTTAAATATGAATGAAATTAAAACACTTGTAATTTGAATTAAAACAAGTCAGTTGAAATATATCAAAAAAATAAAAAAGTTGGCTTCGCAAATATGACACTGACAGGAAATAAAATGGCGTTAGGAAGAGATTCTGTTAATGGTCTACATAACAGAGACTAGAATGAGACAAACTACACAGGATAGGAATGTGTGGAGAGCCATGATCTGCCACGTCCTAAACGGACAATCACATGAAGAAGACATTTTTAAATTTTCAATAAAGAGACGCGATAGATAGTCTATAATAGATACAGTCTTATTTTATTGAGGTTATAATATCAAATCGAGAAAAAATTAGTAAAATGTCTTAGTCAGCCTAAGCAATGAGAAAGTAAATACAAAAAAAAAACCGTTCATGTACCTTCCTATCTGAAAAAAAAATAAAAGAATCGTCATAATACGGTGTAACCCGGATATAAGAGAGTTGTCGGGACCGGAGAAGAAGTCTCTTATATCCGGGTTTCTCTTATATCCGGGTTTGGTCTATTTTATATACATTAACACAGGCTCTAATTTGGGACCAGAGAAAATCTCTCTCATATCCGGGTTTCTCTTATATCCGGGTCTCTTATATCCGGGTTACACTGGATTACAGACGAAAAGGATAACTAAGAAAAGAAATCGACGAAACTGCTACCTTTTAATCCATCGTGAACCATTCCTGTTAATTCATATTATACATC